AAGCTGCACATGGGCTGCAAAATGGCAGCAAATCTTTTGAATGTAATCTTGTTTTAAATGTTTGATAGATTTTCTTGCATTAGGTAAAATATTAGGTGAGAAGAAATTATTTTTTATTATGTTGTTTTTGCTATAAATATAGCAAAATATCAATGATATTTCTGAGTTGGAGTGATATACTCCTCTCCATTTTATGTGCTCTGCTCTTCATCTTCTTCCTCTCGGTTCTCTCCTTTTTTTTCTTTCTTTGCTTTAAAAAACCCAACATGAACATATAATTATCTGTTATATTTTAATTATTGTATTGAGGGTTTTTTAAATTTTGCTTAATAGTCTGCGACTTTTTAGAAGATGCCATGTCCCTCTTTCTCTGCGTTTTCCACCTTGAATGATGACTGCTTTGGGCTTTAGATAAATAATCTTGTCATGCATGAATGTAACCAGTCAAAGCAATTACCGAATTGAACTGAAACTTCAGCTTGTAAATTGCTTCCCACAAAGTTCATCTGAAGAAGCAGATGCCCTGTAATGCCATGCCATGATTTCATCTACTGTCCTTCTTCGGAATGCATTGCTCATCCTCCTAAGTAGTTTCTTGGTCCTTGCAGCAGCTCAAGGTGCTTCCCGCAATGTAAGCGTGGGCGATTTTCTCACTGCCAATGATCAAAACCTTACATGGCAATCATCATCCGGAGATTTTGAACTGGTTTCACCGTGCTCCGGCCCAACATATCGATTACTCCTTGCTATCTGGTTCGCCAAGATACCAGAAAAAACAATAGTTCGGTCTGCAAATGGAGACAACCTTGTAGAGATAGAATCCAAAGTTAAGCTTACCTCTAGTGGCCTAGTGCTCACAGCTCGAGCTCCCTCTGGTCTGGAGCTTTTGTGGACTAACAGCACCCATGATAGCACTGGAGGAGTATCCCATGCAGCCATGTTGGACATCGGAAACTGTCATCGCAAGCAGGAATTTAGACAACATATGGGAGAGCTTCCACAATCCAACAGACACCATCTTGCCAAGACAAGAACCAGGCTTAAACATTTAATCAACCTTTTCTGTAACAAGCTACAAGAAGGGGAAATTTCAACTCCGTTTCACCTCCGAATCTCTAGCTCTGAATCAAATTGATGTCTACACTGGAAAACCTTTCCATTTTTACTTCAACATCTCAGATGGTTCGGGATTGATCTTCAACAACCTTCGGTTTATCTAGATCAAGAAATTGAATGGAGGTATTATCGACATTGCTCCAAAAAATGCAGTCCCAAAACAGGACTTATACTATAGGGCAATACTTGTTTTTGATGGAGTTTTCACCTAGTATTCTCACCCCAGAACCTCCTTTGGAGACGAAAGCTGGTCATCCTAATGGTATAGTCTGGTGGATATCTGCTCTAGATTTTTGAGTAAAGATACTCTGCTGGGAAGCGGGCCTTGTGGGTACGATCGTATCTGTCAACATGACCAGGATGGAGGGGCTGTTTGCCAGTGCCCATTTGGGTTTTCTTTCCTGGATGCAAAGAATCAGCACTTTGGATGCAAGCTAGACTACCAGAGCTACCAGAAAGACTGTAATAAAGATGGTCCGTAATTGGGGAGAATCGTTTTGATTTTAAGTCAATGCCTTTGGTAGATTGGCCTTATAGTGACTATGAACTCCTGCAGCCTGTAAATGAGACAGAATGCAAAAGGTCTTGCCTTCTTGACTGTACCTGTGCAGGAGCCATCCTGGAAGAACCGGAGCTGAACAATGGCATTGGAAACTGCTGGAAAAAGAAAGTACCGCTTTCAAATGGGTGATATGATAAAAACAAACTCAACAGAAAACTTTTCGTTCCAAACCTTTTTACAATGTTCTATGCTACAATAACATCTGCATGAAAATTATAAATAATAAAGGTTGTCCTTTTATCAGTATATTTATGTGTGACTTCCAAATAAAGGTAGCACTTCAAGTTTTTTTTAGTTTTTCATGGTCTTGGTCAGCAAAACTCTCAATTCCTACAAAGAAAGCAAATTGATATTGGCCTTATTTGTGAAGAAAAAGAAAATCTCTGAGTAGTAGCATAATTAAAATGGGGATTGGGGAAAGGGGGATGAAAGGCATTGCTAGGACTAGAATCCAAGAACAGGAAGCGGGGAAGCCACTTCATTAGAGCCTTTAGCATGTGTTTTCGTAAGTTTGTGGATGGAGAATTTATGTTATATTCATCTGCAGAAATTGCAAAGCTACAGAGTGCATTTACTATAGTTAATCACATAAAATCCAATGTGAAGACCTAAAATGGATATCTGGGGAAGAGACCTATTTGCATTTTTTCTTTGTGAGTCCCTTTAGCAGTATGGTATGGAAGGCTGTTCCGCACCAACTTGGTGTCACTAGAAAACCACAGCCATGGAATGAAGAAGCCAAATGAATTCTGAAAAGCAGTATGGGCAGAGTATAACAGCTAGCAAGGATAATTCAACCGCCTTTTGCTTGCCCGCAGAAAGCAAAGGATCCAAAGCATGTTAGTTGGCAAATTATTCAAATGATTAATAAAAATATCAAATTTAAAATGCAACGATAAAAATCAAAGCTACTAATTTTTATGACTTACCTTTAGCTTTTGATTATTGAAGATTCAAATAAGCAATTCAACCACGTTCTCTGGTCTCACCTTACATTTGGAATATACCGTCAAGGAATGGTTCAACTTATTAACAGCCTTAGATTCCAAATCAAATATTTTAGGTTTGAATTTTAGGTAAAGTGGGGAGGAATTTAAGAAAAAAAAAAAAAAAAACTAATCCTTCTTATATAGTTTATTATAAGTTGTATAAAAAAATCCTTACATTGGAATACTGTGATACGGGTAGGAAGGGATTTGGGTTGAGTTGGGTCAGGGAGAAATCAGCCCAAAAATACATGAACCTTCTACCTCAAAAATCACTAATGAATCCACTAGGCACAGCTCCATGAGATCCAAGAACGCATGAAAATGGAACCATTTTTCTCACCTTTAATTAATAACTTTTGAAAAGCATTTTTTGCTTGGATGGAGTATGAGAGAGGAAGACAGGGAGTTCACATTGAGAAATCGTCTTTTATTTAGCCGTATAGGCAGCCTATGACATTAAATTCTGAAATATCAATCAAGCAGACGGCCAATTAATGAATTTCTAATTATTTTTTAAGGTCTCTTAATAGATTGAGATTTTTTAGAATGTGTCATTTTTGAATAATGCTTATATATTTTTTAATTTAATATATTTTATAATACATTTAATAAAAATTATAAATTTTAAATTAAAATTAAAAAAATTTAATTATAAATTTGAATAACTAAATCAGTAACTATTATTTTCTTTTGATATTTATCTTTTTCTTTGGAGCTTCCACCTTCCCTAAATGATGACTGCTTTGACCTTCAGATAAAAAATATTGTCCTGCAGGAATGTGAAGCAGTCAAAGCAATTACCGTGTTCTTCTTTGGGGTTTCCACCTTCCCTAAATGATGACTGCTTTGACCTTTCGATACAAAAACTTGTCAATGCATAAATTGTTGACAAAATGTTCCAGCCGCATTGAAAGGTGGTGTAAAGTGTGAAAATACGGAGAGCTTTCTTCCTTTTACCTTTCATGGCATTTATTATCATGTTGTAATGGTTGAAATTTAGTCATAACATTTATTGTCATGTAGACAAAAGGCTTGATTGCAAGAAGAATTCCTCCAACCTATTGCTAGACACGACACCACCCTAAAGGAGTCTTGTCCGGCTTGTTCACATTTGCTCAAGTAAGTTGATGAGCTCTATAAATAGAGCTTGGTGCAGGGCAAAAGAAGTAAACAACAGAAATTGAAATGAGCTAAGGGAGTGAGTGGTCTTGTGAGAGAAAAGAAAGAGAGAAATTTTGAGATAATCTTTGTGAAAATTAAGAGAAAGTATTAAGAAGAATTTGAGAGTTTTTATATACTAAAATTAGGGTGTTGAGAACTTTTAAATTATTGTATTTTTTTTTAGTAGTAGATTTATTTCTCTCTTTTTCGTGAACATAAACTTGTTGAGAGATATATAAATTGAATCACATTAAATTATTTCTTCAATTTCTTTATCGCTTCTATTTGCGTGCTCAAAATTTCACAACATGAATGTGAAGCAATAAAAGCAATTATCGTGTTGAATTGAAACTTAAGCTTATAAATTGCTTCCCACAAAGTTCATTTGAAGCAGCAGATTCCCCACAATGCCATGCCATGCCATGATTTCATCTCTAGCCCTTTCTCGGAATCCATTGCTCATCCTCCTAAGTAGTTTCTTGGTCGTTGCAGTAGCTCAAGATGCTTCCCACAGTGTAAGCGTGGGCGATTTTCTCACTGCCAATGATCAAAACCTTACATGGCAATCACCATCAGGAGATTTTGAACTTGGGTTTCGCCGTGCTCCAGACCAACAAGAACTATTCCTCCTTGCTATCTGGTTTGCCAAGATACCAGAAAAAACAATAGTTTGGTCTGCAAATGGAGACAACCTCGTAAAGATAGAATCCAAAGTTGAGCTTACCTCCAGTGGTCTAGTGCTCAGTGATCCTTCTGGCACGGAGCTTTGGTGGACTAACAACACCCAAGATGGCACTGGAGGAGTATCCCATGCAGCCATGCTGGATATTGGAAATTTTGTCATCACAAGCACGAATTCAGACAACATATGGGAGAGCTTCCAAAATCCAACAGACACCATATTGCCAGGACAAGAACTAGGCCTAAACAGCACTCTTTCATCAGCATT